GTGCAAGGTAATTGCGGATTTGGAGAAAAAAAAGGGAGGAAAAGAAGAAGATCATGGAGGAAGGAGAACCCCAACCCAAACTACAAGAGAAACCTAAAACCATAAGCACCGAGGTGGAAACCATTGGGGTAACTTCCGAGGCAGGGGACAAGCTAGTGTCCAAACCCGTGGGCCAACATGGTGAATCCTCCAAAGCCGCGGCAAAGGTACAAAACAAACCAAAAAAGAAGGAATATCACCCCTTCTTGATGGTTAAACGTCTTAATAAGATTAAAGGGGTATTCAAGAGGAAACTGAACACTAAAGAGAAGGATGAGGTATCCTTCGGATATGAAACACAAGAAGAAGAGGATGGAGACCCTAGAATCATAAAAGGATTTAAGGATATATATGATGATGAAGCCATTGTTACTATGAAGGTTGATGAGGTATTAACACCAACGATAGAGGTGAATCACTTACACAAGATTAAGGAACCTACTATTCGGCTTAACCACCATCTCAAAGTGGTGAGTGGTAAAGTGCCCGAAGTATGGTTTACCAAGTCATGTTTGGAAAGTTTACCCGGAGTTAAAAAGCTGAAGAAGTACTACTCCTTCTCGGACGTGTTCATGAAGTGTGTATATAGGCACTTCCTTGATAGATACTTTGAAGATGGTCATCCTATGGGTAATGGAAGCAAGGTTTTGGATGTAAGGAAGATAAACAAGGGAGTAACCCGTGTGGTGGATGATATTAGAGAGGCTTACATTGATGATGTGATTACCAAGGTTGAGTTTGAAGAAGATGGAGGATATAGCATGCCGCATTTGGTGCATGGGGAAGAAGTTAAAGAGATGATGATAAGGCTTACCAACTACCTATCAGTAGACTGGAATACATCACGTTGTGGGCTCATTTTCACATCCTCATGCTTTGACTCTCTCCTGGGAGTTACCAACACGGAGGAAGGGTATAATTTCTCATCCCAATTTATGTCTAAAGTATATCCTATATTCATTGATAGGTACAAAGGTTGTGAGAGTTATAGAGAATGGGTCCAAAGGCAAAGAGAAGGCAATCGGCCTTACAAGAGGAAAGGAGGGTGGACTAAATAGTTTTAATGTATATAGCATCATGGAATGTAAGGGGGCTTAACCAGACCTCAAAACAAAACACTATAGTTACTTTTGCAAGAATGAATAAGGTACGCATTTTTTGCCTACTAGAAACTAAGATGTCTTCTTCTACGTTTGATAACTTTGTGAATTTTAGGTTTAATGATTGGGGCTGTATTACAAATTTTGACAAAATGAGTGGTGGCCGAATGGCAATTATTTGGGATTTAAATTTTGTTGATGGGGATAAACAAGTGGATAAACAACACATTCATGTTAGATTCACTTGTAAAGTTACACAAGTAACATTTTATGTCACTTTTATATACACTTTATACACAGTTGTTCAAAGGAGAGAATTATGGGAACATATCTCCGGGTTAAGTCCTAATATCTTAGCTCCTTGGGTGGTCTTGGGTGATTTAAAATGTGTAGGCTCTCCAAATGAGAGGAGTGGGTCTGCCCTTCCCTCGGCCTATGCAATGAAACACATTAATGATATGAAAATGGTTTCTAGTCTCACCGATGCACCCTCATCCGGTGATTTTTTTTACTTGGAATAGGGGTGCAATTTGGGCTAAGTTGGATAGAGTTCTTATTAATCCGTTTTGGAATTTGCAAAATATAACATGTAAGGCTCATTTGTTTGAAATGGAATGTGAGTTTGATCATGTGGCATCTCTTGTAACCATTGGGACCGTGAACAACTTAGGGTCCAAACCCTTCAAATTTTTTAACATGTGGTTAAAGCATGGAAGTTTTCATGGCATTTTAGAGATTGTGTGGACTAGGAATGTTGTTGGTACGGCTCAGTTTGGGCTTGCCCATAAACTTAAGCTACTAAAGCAGCCCCTAAAACAACTCAATAGAGATGAATTTAGTCATATCTCGATTAGGGCAAAAGAATAAAAAAAGGAGTATAAGAGAATCTATCAATTAGCCCTCTTGTCTCCTCTAGATGATGCTCTAAAAGAGGATATGTTGGTTTAAAAAAAGAGGGCACTTTTCTTGAAGGAAGCCGATGAAACCTATCTTAAACAAAAGGCTAAGGATATCCATATTTTACAGGCGGATAGGTGTACTAAATACTTCCACTCTATTGTGAAAAAGAATAATGCTCAAAACTCTATTGCTTCATTGAGATTGGAAGGAAGAAGTCTTACCCAATCTATGAACCAAGTAGCAAATGAGTTCATAGTCTTCTTTAAAGGTTTGTTTGGTACAATTGTACCAATTGAGGGATATGACACGGGGATAATCTCTTCGGGAAACACCATAGATCAAACACTTGTTAATGACCTCATTAGTTCTGTGACCGATTTGGAAATTAAACAAGCCTTGTTTGATATTGGTAATGATAAAGCCCCTGGACTGGATGGTTTTTTGTCTGCTTTCTTTAAATCTAATTGGGGTATAGTTGGGGAGGATGTATGTAATGCCGTAAGGGAATTTTTTGTTACAAGGACTATGCTTAAACATGTTAATCATATTGTGGTCGCACTTATCCCTAAAACAACTCATTCCCCCACAGTTTCGGATTTTAGGCCTATCTCATGTACTAATGTGACTTATAAGATCATAACTAAGATTCTTGCATCTCGGCTTGGTCCTTGTCTTTCTAGTGTCATTAACCCTTCACAAGGAGCTTTTATTGATGGAAGGTTGATGTCTGACAACATCTTCTTAGCACAAGAGTTAGTGAGAGGATACTCTAGGAAAAGACCTTCGCCCCGGTGTATGATCAAAGTTGATCTTAGGAAAGCCTATGATACAGTCTCATGGGATTTCCTTGGAAAGGTTTTGATTGATTTTGGCATTCCTGTTTTGTTTGTTAATTGGATAATGGAGTGTGTTTCTACATCCTTTTCCATATCCATTAATGGAGCTCTTCATAGATGGTTTGAAGGAAAGAGGGGACTAAGACAAGGGGACCCTATGTCCCCTTTACTTTTTGTGCTATGTTTAGAGTACTTTTCTAGGATGATTTACTTAAGGACCTCAAATCCTTCTTTCCGATATCACCCTTTATGCTCTAAACTGAAAATAACACATTTGGCTTATGTGGATGATTTGATGCTTTTCAAAAGGAAACTACTCATCTATCAAAATATTAGTGGATGCTTTAACGGACTATGGGTTGGTTTCCGGCCTTATGGTTAATCATGATAAATCTAATATTTTTTTAGGTGGAAATGTGGAGAGTAGAATTCCATACATTATGCAAATGGTAGACTTTCAACAAGGATCCTTTCCTGTTAGATATTTGGGTATCCCACTTGCTCCTTTGAACATATTTGTAGCCCAGTTCTCTCCTTTGATTGACACGGTTACAAATTATTTATTTGCGTGGAATTCCAAAACTCTTTCTTATGCTGGGAAGGTTGAGTTGATTAGGTCTATCATGCAAGGTGTTCAATCTTTTTGGCTTGGAATTTTCCCTATGCCGAGGGCTATTCTAGATAGGATAACCTCGCTTTGTAGGCTATTCCTTTGGGGGGGGGGGCATAATAAAGTTGCATGGAGTGATGTTTGTTTACCAAAGGAAGAAGGAGGATTGGGTCTTAGGGACACTATGGTGTGGAATAATGCATTACTATCCCGCACCCTTTGGAACATTCACTCCAAACAAGATTCGCTAAGGGTTAAGTGGGTTCATGGGGTCTACCTCCAAGAGAGGGATGTGTGGGCTTTTGTTCCACACACAAGGGATTCCTGCTTAATGAAAAAGATTTGGATGATTCGGGACTTGATTGTGTCCAAGTTTCATTCAAAAGAAGAGGTCGTGACTTACCTTGGGAAGATCTCCGAAAATGGAAAGCTTTCTTCTTCTAAAGTGTATGAATTGCTTAGGTCTAAGGGTAATATTCATCCTTGGATGTCTTTTATATGGAAGTTTTATATCCCCCCCAAGTTCTCTTTCATTACCTGGCTAGCCTTTCGGGGGACGTTAGCCACATATGATAGGTTGGGATTTCTTGACGTGGTTAATGTTTGTCATTTTTGTAAGGGTGGTCCGGAAACGGTATCACACCTATATTTTGAGTGCTCATTTACAGGACAGGTTTGGAGTAAAGTGAGGGAATGGCTTGGGCTTTTGAGGCAAATGATAACACTTTCAAGTGCGGTCAAATGGATCAAAAAGGAGCATAATGGAGCACATGTCAAAGCCAAGGCCGTGAGGATAGCTTTTTGTTATTTGATCTACTGGATATGGCGTATGAGGAATAATATATGCTTTGAGAAGGCCAAGACTACTGTGTTGGATATGGTTGCAAATATAAAGTATATGGTGTATAAAGTGCTTTATTCAATGTATCCATATTATATGGTAACATTCTGATTTTTGCTGTTTCGTCACCAACTTTTGTGATGGCTAGCATGTATATGTAGCTAGATGGGTTTTTGTGGTGACAGGGGATCCTTGCTTGGAATGCCCCATAGATGTTTTTGATGTTGTACATTCGTACATAAACTTTCTTGGATATATATATTTTTACAGTTTATCCAAAAAAAATAGAACGCAATAAGATCTTTTCAACGAGAGAAAAGAGTGTATCAAAATATACAAAACTGTATATGCAAAGTACAAAACTGCATATGAATACCAAATAAAATTTGCACAAGTTAAAAGAACTCTTTGTAATCACTCATTCCAAAAGTAACTGTCATGATTAATTCTAATTAGATTGAAAATAAACTACCAAAATAAATGAGTATACAATGATTACTAAAATGTCCGAAAACATAAATATGCTCTTATGGATAAACTTTTGAAAATGCCTGGCTAGGATTTATTCTTATTTTGTCTGTCACGGTCTTTTTATTTGACAATATATATATATATATATATATATATATATATATATATATATATATATATATATATATATATATTATAGAATAATATAATATAAACACACTTAGAAGGCATATTTGACGACTCCTGGAAAATGTGTATTAATGAAGTAGTCTTCCCAGTCGATACAATTTGGGTCAAAGAAGAATATCTCAGACATATTGCTGCTTCTTGTAGCCGTTCTCAACCTCTTAGTATTATTGCCATCAAAGCTGCAGTATAATAAATAATTGATTTAAAATATTTGCCGAATGAACTACACATAACAACTCTACGAATATATATACATTAAAAAAAACTCTACAAAAAATATTTTTTTCGTTTAGCAAAATTTAAAAAATTAATATGGGCTATTAGCTTTCACTAACAGTAATAATTTTAATAATATTAATAACAATTTTAATGTATTGGTACAAGTATTATTATTGTTGAATTAGACTTTTCAAAAGGGAACATTGACACCACCCTCTTCATTAAGCGACATAAATATGATATCATGTTGATTCAGATCTAGGTCGATGACATCATTTTCGCTTCCTCCAATCCTAATCTTTGCAAGAAGTTCGGTGACCTAATGCGCACCAAGTTTAAATAGGTAAGATGGGTGAATTAACCTTTTTCCTAGGGTTGCAAGTCAGACAGTTACAATCAAAATACAATGTTTATAAGTGAGACGCACTCCAAAGGCATTCATGACCTCACTTCTGAGGAAAGGCACACTGATATCAATGATCTTGCACAAGGTTTTCACAACTTTGATCACCCAACCCCAGAAATAAGCCGAACCAATCACATAGGAGCAGCCTGCGAGAAGCAACAGACCTTGTCAGTTCCCGAGTAGAAGATGCAACATCTGGTCTAACTGCACACGCACATCCCTTACGTAGTCACTCCTCTACCTCCCAACATGAAAAGGTTTCAACAATTCACAAGAAAGCTAAACAAACCTCTCTACAGCTCCACACATCGACACTGCCCCTCATTCAATCTCTTCGAGTTCGGGTCCTACAACCCATATATTTTCTCCATTTTCTAGGACACAACTACCATACACACTATCTATTACATATGGACTTCATTCACCTTACTGCAACGATCGGAGAAACTTCTACAATGGACGGAAGTCCTGCTACGCAACCCATTTTGACGCCATTATTTGCAGGCCACACATCGACAATCTTCAGCGATGTGAGAATGGAAAGCGTACACACTTCTAGTAGTGACAAGTCACAACCCCAATATGTCATTATGCATTAGTTGAATAGCTGCTTTGAGTCCTTCGAAGCCAACATCCTTTCTAAGGTACAATCAGCAATAGCTACTACTATCCAGGGTTCAAGGCACACCCAGGCTACACAAGTACATCCACAACCAGCCATAACCAACACCTAACCTTTATCCGATAACTACATCCACCACCTACCTACTCCTACCACTTCTCCAAGGAGAACCCAGGATACCGAAATAGTATCCTCCCTAGACCAGACCAGACCACCTCATTGATCCCAACAACGAACGTATTCCCTCTTTGACCAAAAACCTCTATCTCCGCCTATCCGCCAAAACAAACCTTAGCCCTGACCAACAAACCCTTCTCTACTTTCTTCACACCCAATTCACTTGCCGTGATAGTCTCCACAACCTTAAACATCTACATGAGAATCCCGATGAATCGGAACCTCATGAAGGGGGAGAAGAAGAAATGGACATTTGAGCAATGTACCTCCTCCATCCACTATCAGTCTCAGCCACAATTTCCCAACTCCAAACCTCAACCCAAATCCTCATAGCACAAAATCAACACCACCCAGCCCTTATCTACTGGCCTGGTTGAGCCAAATAAAACACCCATAGGCTCATCTTCTGAAGATGTTGTCCAAAGATTGTGTGGAAGTCCTGAGGCAACAACATCATACACACCTACCTGCTCAGGCCATCCGTTGGAACCTGTTTCTGAAATGATGTCAACAGGAAGTCTTCGTGACCCAGGTGTTACTCTACCTATGTTCTCACAGGCCAAAACTTCATCGAGGATTATGTTCTGGACCTATAATGGAACGAGTGGAAGGAACTCCATATTCACGACATCGATGTCTCACCATTGTGTTCGGTCTATGAAGAACCAGAATCAGTAACCGTGTAGGCCATGTACATGGAGATATGGTGATGTGAATATGTCTTTCCCCAATAGACCTCAAGGTTACGAGGTTTGTAACCGCGAGAAAGGGGAGCTTCCAGGACCCTTCAAAAAAGGGCTCCAGAATTTTCACTTCATAGGGATAGGTCATCCGAGCATCCACGACTCTTCTTTGGTCATCTAGCCTCCTTTCTGAGGTTGTTATGGTCATTAGTGCCTTGATCCCACGGGGTAGGATGAGTGGGAATGGGGATGTTAATGGTTTTCCCTCCTCCTGTTCCTGCCACACACGGAGTGGTGCAAGGGTTAAGCAGCGGAGGGAGCCCTCCTATTATCCTTGTCTCTCCTGGTTAGCCGGTCATGGACTGAAAGCCTCCCACCCTTGAGCCATTCCATCATTGAGTCACTTAGGGACGGATCACTGGGGTGAGACGGACGGTGGGATTCATGAGACCGTTGCGGGGGGTGAGTGCCTTCTGTGGTGGCCAAACAAGGCATATGCTTCAACAAAAGGAGGCATAAAAGGTGCATGTGCGGCAACCCATTGTCGTGTCATAGCCATAGGTAATATTCCTTAAAAAATCGTAGTGAGGCCTCCTCCATCCTCTGTAAAGTTGCCAAACCCGCCAACGCCTAAACAAGATCCATACTCTGAATGGTACCACCACCAATAGGCATCCACACTAGTGATGGGTCAACAATCGGGTTCTTCGAGCCTCCAACATTGTTCATACAATTCGTCAAATCATTAGGTGATGGAGGTCCCTTGTTGAGCCGTCATCGTGGACAAAAGTTGAATTCGCCCTGACAGCACATTTGTTACAACACGATCCTGCCATTGTTTCAAATAAGAAGATGACCAGAGATAGCTCTCAATGAAAGTACGAGGTGATGGAGAATAATTCCACTTACGATAGATATCTAATGATGGCTGGAAGTAAATTGGCAATGAAAGAGCAGTATTATTATATGAGAGATCGCTTAGGTTTACAGATCTGATCTCTTACAGGAGTATTTATACGCTTAATCTTGCATAAGTATTTGAAGACCTAACCACTTCAATAAGAAGTCTATTTATGATAGAATTTCGTAATGCTCTTATAAGAATGTCTACATTTAATGTCTTATTTATGTTCACATTTTCAAGTAAATACTGGTGGTTTGGCCAAAAAAAGTAAATACTGGTGGTGCTGATGAGTCTCATTTGTCATGAAACTCTTGCCATGTAAGCCCTAGAAATATTTTGGGCCAGAAATATATTTATTCCAGGATTTGGGCTATGAATCAATTCCATTGTACCATCAAAAGATATAAAACAAAATGTGATTATAGCAGTACCCAATATGTATAATCTCGAATTGTTGTGGCTGACAGTGAATACACATTATATAACTAATAATTGGGCTATGAATCAATTCCATTGTACCACCAAGATGTTTTTACTTGGAAAGAATTTTTCTGGTCTGGTATGGTCTGGTCTGGTCTGAATTGCTCTGGTTTGGTCTAGTAATTGTCTGCTCTCTGTGTATTTTATAACTATCCAAGTATGGTCTGGTCTAGTCTGATCTGGTTTTGTCTGGTCTGACCTGATATGATCTGGTCTGAGATTTAAAAACGTCCAAGTAAAAACATCCTTATAAGTAATATATTAGGAACAATTTAAAAAGTAAAGATGAAAGGATGATAATGAGATTGAGAATAAAATACGCACATCCCGTAGAAGAACACATACGGTCTGTAAATTTCAGCAAATCGGATGACCATGCTGATGTTCTTTTCAACCGCAGTGCACTTGTCATCGAAATAATGATAGAGAAGCATGTTCATCAGCTTTAGCACCTACATGCCGCATTTTTAAAACAATTATATATCTTCATATTAGTTTCATACTTCCCTTAAATTTTCCTCTGATCTATCCAAAGTTTATATTCAAACAATTTTTTCTTAAACGTGAAATAATGTGGACAATGCAAATATGAAATACAAAATCTCATGACAAGGAGAGTATGTACTACGTAATAATCATTCAAACATTTTTAATTGTTTAAAACTTTTTTTGGCACATAATACAAGTATAACATACTACGTATATATGTACAATGTAATTAATTAATTGACAAGTAAGACTAAGCTTTATTTTCAAAATAGATATCTAGTCCTTGAATTTGATTCAAATGAAAACATGATCTAAGGAGAATATGATAATGATTCTGCAAGCGTTGAATTTGAGTATCATACATTATGTGAAATAGAAATGTGCACTAACATTAATAAGAAAATATGTATTTGAAGTGTGCATTAGTTTAACCATAAATGTGCATATTTGAAATTCTGCATTATTTTCTATACGAAATATATATGTGCATATTCGTGAATCATAATGTGCATCGTTTAAAAGTGTTCTCATTTCTAACGTTAAATAGTGTTCTTACATGAAACCGACCATCATCCAGTCCTAAACACAAATAGTTAATCAAAAGAGAATGAGTCATATTGTAGGAATAAAGAAATTGTTGATTTGTTTAAAGGAATGCATTATGTTTTAATCTTATTTAAGGGTAGTTAAAAAGTCCTATTTAAGGGATTCACACTTCTTATAATTGAAGGATGTACTAATTAAGGTTTGGAAGTATTATTTAACATGTATTGTTTTAAAGCTTGACACATTTAAAGGTGGCTTACATATTGGACACATAATTCACATTTTTATAAGGTGATTTCCATCTTTGACACACGTAGTTTACATTTAGAATAATTTGACTTACGCGCAACATTCACAATAATATCACTTACACCAAACATTTAGGTTTGTCCACCACTTTTCCAAAAGTAGTAATATTAGTAGATTTTTTTTCTATAAATTCGTATGTTACCATTCTACAAACTCGATTCATGTCTGCTAGCTTACCTCGTTGTATGGAATTAAAGCGTCAATTATCTAGTCTTGAAAAGAGGGAAAATCAATCTGTGGAACACTATCTCCGAGATATTAAAAATTTGGTTGATGCTCTTGTTGCGGTTAATGCCCCGGTTTCGGCCAAATAATTACTTCAATTGGTTATTAGTGGATTGGGTCCCGAATATGAATCTTTGGTTGGCATCATTATGCTTTTCCCCGATCAATTTCCCTTTGAGGTATTGCAACCTCGTCTCATGGAAGCCGGACAACGGTTGTTGTTTAATCGTCAACAAGCTTCATCTCCCATCCATCAAGCGTTTGGTGCTGTGGGACAGCAGCCACCGCAACGAGTTTATGCTCCCCGAGGACGGGGGTGACAGCGACAGAGGAGGCCGCGGCAGAGGTGGACGTGATCGTGGACGCCATCACTATGGCCAACAGTTCGGGCAGCCGTGCTACGGACCACAACCCGCTGCCCAGCAGTTTCCCGGTGCAGCCCCGTCGCCTCCTATAGTTGGCCAGCCGTTTCCAGGAACAGGCCAACAGGTCCTGGCCGGGCCGTCGCATGCAGCATCTTCATCTTCTTCAGGCACTACAAGTTCTGCTAGTATATCTGTTGTGTCCACTTTAAATGTCAATTCCTACTTTATTTGTGGTACTAACTTTCGCACTGCAGGCTTTCAATCCTCTGAGGGAATTCTTGGTTCTGTTCCTCCACCTGTTGTTTGTCAGATATGTTTCTCCATAGGTCACTCTGCTATGCATTGTGCGTCTCGGTTTAACCAAAACTCTGCTCCTGCGTTGATGGCTTCGAATAGTGATGCTAATGCTTCTTTATGGTTTCCGGATTCCGGTGCATCTGCTCATATGGCACCTTCATACTGGATCTCATTATATTAGTGTTGCAAATGGTTCTAAATTACTTATAGCTAATATTGGTGATATTATATTATCTTCTTCTAGCCTTCCACTTGTTTTAAAATCTGTTTATCGCGTGCCTCAGATAAAATTTATTTTATTATCTATTCAGAAACTTTGTGCGGATAACAACTGTGTTGTAATTTTTGATAAAAATTCCTTTTTGTTAAGGACAAAATTTCGGGGGGCGGTCCTTCTCAAGCACCCAGTAAAGGCCATCTTTATCCTGTCAGCCTCAGTCATCCGTCATCACTTGCTCTCTCTTCCGTCTCTACCTCTGGCTCTCTGTGGCATCGTAGATTAGGCCATTGTGGTGATTCTGTTTTACGTATTTTAAATAATCAAAAACATATTTGTAATACCTCTAGTTTTTCTCACGATTGCATTTCTTGCCGATTAGGCAAATCACAACGATTGCCTTTCTCAGATGCTAGTCATTCTTGTTCTGAACCTCTACAACTTATTGATTCTGATGTTTGGCAATCACCTGTTTTATCTAGTTTGGGGTTAAAATATTATGTTTGTTTTATTGATGGTTTCTTTCGCTTTACTTGGTTGTATCCAATGCGCCTAAAAGATGATGTTTTCACTCACTTTCAACATTTTAAATCACTAGTTGAAAATCTTTTTAATACTAGAATTAAAAAATTTCAAAGTGAGGAGGGGGTGAATTTGTTAATTTTAATATGCAGCAATTTTTTAACACCCATGACATTTATTTTCGCAAATCCTGTCCTGATACTCCCCAACAAAATGGAGTTGCAGAAATGAAACTTAAACATTTATTGGAATTAACTAGGACTATGCTTCTTGAAGCTTCGGTTCCTAGCACTTTTTGGGTGGATACAATTCTTACTGCTGAATATATTATTAACCGTTTACCTACTTCTCTTCTTTTCGGTGTATCGCCTTACGAGAAACTTTTTCACAAAACTTCTGATTACTCTTTTTTACGGGTGTTTGGTTGCTCATGTTTTCCAAATATTTCCGCTTCATCTTCAAATAAGCTCTCTGCCCGCTCTACTCGTTGTGTTTTTATTGACTATGCATCTGGGTACAAGGGATATCGTTGTCTTGTGCCTAAGTCTGGTCCGGTTTACATTAGTCGTCATGTTAGGTTTATTGAACATGATTTTCCCTTCACCACTCTTACTAACTCTCCGTCTGAGTATGTTCCATCTGTCACGTCTGAATTATATTTAACTAATACCCTTCGTCCAGCTCTTCCTCCTCCTGCTACAGTACCGGCCGAAGCCCCTTCACATCTCTTTCATCCGGCCGACACCCCACCAACTTCAACCACCAGTACACCATCTACTCCTACAACCTCCGACAGCATTCCCACTTTCCGCCGCACCAGTCCACTGACTACTCCAGCCGCTGACCACCATGATCACGGCATGCCTATTTTTCCAGCCGCTGACCACCATGATCACGGCATGCCTATTTTTCCAGCCGCATCCTATCACCTTTCTTCACCCGGTAGTACGGCCAGCCAAGATCAGTCCTCTTGTTCGACTCCCAGTACTATTAATACCATAGTCATCCCTTCTGCCCCCCAAATTAATTGTCATCCTATGTAAACTAGGGCCAAATCAGGAATTTTTAAGCCTAAATCTATTTTTAATTTGCAAACAGTTGTTACTCATGCAGATCCGACTTGTTTTTCTGAGGCACATAAAAATTTAAAATGGCGAGAGGCCATGGCTGAGGAATTTAATGCTCTTATTACTAATAATACTTGGGATTTAGTCTCGTTTGATAGCACTAAAAATGTGGTTGGGTCTAAATGGATTTATAAAACTAAATTTCACTCTGATGGTTCTATTGAGCGTCGTAAAGCGCGTTTGATTGCTCAAGGGTTTAATCAGCAGATAGATATTGATTTTTCTGAGACTTCCAGTCCAGTCATTAAACCCACCATTGTTCGTATTGTTCTTACACTAGCTGTGTCTTTTGGGTGGGTATGCTTCAGTTAGATGTCAAAAATGCTTTTCTTCATGGTCATCTTACTGAGGAAGTTTATATGCGTCAGCCACGGGGTTTTATACATCCACAATTTCCTGATCATGTGTGTCGTCTGCGCAAGGCTATTTATTGTCTTAAGCAAGCCCCGCGGGCGTGGTTTCATCGATTTAGTAGTTTCCTTCTCTCTCATAATTTTGTGTGCAGTAAGTCAGATAACTCCCTGTTTATTTTTCATTGTGGGTCATCTGTTTTGTATTTATTGTTGTATGTGGATAATATTATAATCACTGGAAATTCCTCTTCTCTTGTCACTTCTTTCATTCACCTTATTGCTTCTCAGTTTGCTATAAATGATCTTTGTGATCTAAATTATTTTTTTAGGCGTTCAGGCAGTTCGCACTTCGACAGGTTTGTTTCTCTCACAACAAAAATATGTGTCTGATCTTCTTCATCGTTTCCACTTTCACACATTAAAATATGTTCGAACTCCTTTAGCCACTCGCACATCTCCTTCTGTCACAGATGGTGAGCTCTTAGCAGATGCTACTGATTATCGCAGTATGGTAGGTGCATTACGGTATTTAACTTTTACACAACCTGATATTACTTATGCAGTTCATTTAGTGTCTCAGTTTATGCATGCTCCTCGTACTACTCATATGCTTGCGGTCAACCGTATTTTCAGATATTTAGGATGTTTTTACTTGAATTGTAATTCGTCCCAGACCAGACTTGGATAGTTGTAAAAAATACAAAGAAATCAAACCAAACCAGACTAGACCAGATCAGACCAGGCCAGCAAATTATAGTCCAAGTAAAAACATCCTTACAGGGAACTCTTGATCATGGATTATGGCTTTAGAAGTCTAATGCGCCTTTGCGCATCCTGACTCATTTTGATGCCGATTGGGCTAGTTGTCCGAATAGCTCTCGCTCTACCACTGAATGCTGTTTTCTTGGGTCCTAATCTTGTTTCTTGGAAATCCAAAAAGCAGCCCACTGTATCCAAATCTTTTACTGAGGCAGAGTATCGTGTCATTACATATACGGTTCAGGACACCATACACATTCCTTCCCACTTGTTCGAGCTAGGCTTCCCAATTCGTGCCCCAGTTCAGCTTTTGTGTGATAATGTTTCGGCTTCATATTTGACGGCCAATCTAGTTCAGCATGCACGCTCGGAGCAAGCACATTCAGATTGACTATAACTTTGTTCGTGAGAGAGTGGCTCATGGAAATTTACGTGTTACATATATTCCTACTCATCTTCAGCTAACTGATATTTTTACTAAAAGTCTTTCTAGTCATCAATTTCATTTTTTAAAGGACAGCCTGCGCGTTGTTTCTCCCGTACAGTTTGAGGGGGTGTAATAGCCGATATATATTAGGAATCATTCTGTATTTAGGAAACTCAATATTTTACTATAAATACATCTCTCAGGACCCTCATTAGGGTAACCTGTGCCAATTATTCACACTACATATAGGCTATGGTGGGCTGAATCCCAGGATAACTTGATTTCTTTTCATTTTTTTGTGTATTTTTTTCATTTTTATATGTGTATGTGTGTGTGTGTGTGTGTGTGAATGTGTGTGTGTGTGTGTCTATATGTGTGTGTGTATAAATATGTAGGGTGTGGTTCCAATGAGAACGATATTTAACGTGAGGACGTGAGGATACTCAAGTTTAAATCAATGTGGTGCACAAATGAGCTCTTCTGTTGCACATGTTCAATTTGCTCGAATTAAGTCTCTATTAAATAAACACGGTGTCATTTTGGTAAATATTTTGAAAACGGGAAAAAGTGCAATATACAAGCTTCATTGTGCAACACATTGGGGTAAATGTGGTATTCTCATATTCTCACGTTAAGCACTGTCCTCATTTGATCTTTATTCTATATATGTGTATATGTGTGTGTGTGTGTGTGTGTGTAGTAATCTTCCGATCTAGAAAGACTGACAGAAATTCGTCTGATCGCCTGAGGTTCATATGGGTGGATTTTTTCTATGAATTTTGTGAGCATATACTTCATGAAGTAGAATATGTCTACGAAATTTCAGTGTAAAACTCAATCAAGACGGCCGTTAAATAGATTATTGAAAAACAATATGCATGATTGGAACCGTCGTCCGGAATCTGCCGTTTGAGGTTGTTTCCGGTGGAATGGTTTTATGAAATTCGTGATAATGTTTTTCATGAAGTGTAGATTATATTCACAAAATTTAAGTTAAACATTTAATTGAGAAGTCAGTTAAATAAATTATTGAAACGAACCGCACATTTTATATATTAAAAACACAGTTCTTTTAAATAATACGTAGTATATTTAACTGACCTACCGATAGAATTTTAAGCGGGAACCACCTCAAACAGCAGATTCCGCACGACGGTTCAACTAAATATATATTGCCCCATATATATTAAATACCGTTCTTGTCGGGATATCCTGAGCGGAACCGCCGTGCGCAATCCACCGTTTGAGGTGGTTTTGTAATGATGTTCTTCATGTGTTTACATTTTTGTCCACAAAATTTCAATTTAAAATCTAATCAAGAAGTCAGTTAAATAAATTATTAAAAGAAATGTCGTCCGGCCACCACGTTTTGAGGTGGTTTCCGGCGGAATTTTTTGATGAATTTTTTTGAACATGTTCTTCTTCATCAAGTCTAGTTTATCCATACCAAATTTCAGCTAAAAATTAAATCGGGAAGGCAATCAAATGATTTTTGGAAGATAACGGGCTCTTTATAGACATATAAAACGTGACATAATAGTAGAAGACTCATGTGACCTTTTTGTTTCACTTTGACATACTGCACATTACCCATATCCGGCCAATGCTCCAAAAATATAATCATTTCTCTCCTTATATATATGTGTGGGGGGGTGATATAAATGATGGATAAAGGGCCAAGCTAAGGAATGAACATATATACCTGCAACAGGGGAAGATAATGAATTGTGATGTATCGGCGTAAGCTTGTGATGCTGGGCAGCAATACATATTGGCGAACTTTGACAGCCGCTCCACTCGGTGAAGTCCATGGGTTATTGGTGAAGTAACGATACATCATACTTGTAACATCGCAAAGTTTCAGAGGGTTGCATGCATTATTATCGGAGGAGCCAACGTGATAAATAAAAGAGGACGGCGATGACCCCTCCCGATGGTGCACCACCGCTGCCAGCATTGAGTTCACCACCATATCAACAGGAATCTGTGCATACCATTGATTAGTGATCAATAGTGATCAAGCGAGACTGCGTGAATAATGATATTTTAATATGAAATTGTTTCAAATATGGAAATCGCATCAAAATATTCTTTGTCCAAAGTATTTTCACAAAAGTATATTATATATATAGTTATTCATTTCACACAAATATAATAACCAAAATTATTGTCATAATTTTATTATCATTGACTAACAAAAATTAAATTGATCAAGTTTTCACGGGATAAATGGAGTATTTTAGTTCAATTGTTATTTTTCTTTTATAATTTAGTGCAATGTCTACTTGTAGTTGCATGGAAAGTTGTCAAAATAGGCTCTCATAGTATATCAAAAAGTCAATTAAGCTCTTAAATTAAAAAACGCTCCATTAAGACTTAAAACTTTAGGAAAACATTGAAATACTATAGTACAATTTAGAAGGTCACAATTAAGCACTAAAGCTTTCCTTGCCAAAGGTTTTAAGTCGTAACTGATTACCGTTTCTACATGATACTCAGAATAATGTTATGGTTACCAATTTGAATTGTTCAAATAAAAACTTAAGTTCCTACTTTTGTGTAGAAAGTTGTTTGGTATCGTGCCAGACCATTTCTTGAGGGAGTGCGATGTGAATAATGAGATATATCTCAAAGTCGGGTTAGTATAAAGTTGGATCGGGTCAGGACGGGTGCGAGGTAAGTAGGGTTGTAAACGAACCGAATCAAGTTGAATAGTGAGATTTTGTATTTGTATTTGTTTAATTTTTTCGAATACGAATACGAATATGAAATGAATATATTAATTTCAATTTTTATTCGTATTTGTTTAACAATACGAATAGTTAATGAATCATACTCCCTCTGTCCCGAAAAGGTTCGCCAAATTGACTTTTCTTGGTCAATGACAATCAACTTTGACCAATGATATTTTTTAATACAAAATTATTTGGAACATGAAAATTATATCAAAATGTTCCTTATTCAAAATACTTTCATAAAAGTATAAAATTTATACATTATGTACAAGTATAATAATTGAAATCATTATCCAAAGTTTTCCATCATTGACCAAGAAAGGTCAATATGGCAAACCTTTTTGGGACGGAGGTAGTATATGAATATCAAATCGATTTGATCATAAGATTTTTTTTAGTCAAATACTCTGTATCACTTTAAAACATCTTGGGAAAACTGTCAAATAGGTCCTCGAACTTTCATAAAAAAGTCAATTAAGTCCTTCTATAGGGGGTTTTGTCCGGCCGTCGCGATTTGAGGCAGTTCCCGGTGAAATTTTTTGATGCAATTTTTTGAGCATCTTATTCACCAAGTCTAGTTTACTCATATTAAATTTCAGCTAAAAATTCAATCGGAAACACATTCAAATTAATTTTTGAAGATAACTGCGCATTTTTGCGTTCTCGAATTAATTTGAATGCGCTCTCGATTAAATTTTTAGCTGAAATTTGGTATGAGTAAACTAGACTTGATGAATAAGATGCTCAAAAAATTTCATAAAAAAATTCCACCGGGAACCGCCCCAAATCGCGACGACCGGACAGTCTCCTATAAAAGGACTTAATTGACTTTTTTATGAAAGTTCGAGGACCTATTTGACAGTTTTCCCAAACATCTTTTTCTATATTTTCTTATATTATAAATGCATGTTATGACTTAATATGTGTGTTTAAAGTTTAATTTGTTACATTTCATTTTTTTAGTATTTAATGGATCGATACATTTTTAGGTTGTGCACAATATACCAAAGTGAATCAATTTTATGATTACTATACATAAATATACTTCAAAGTTTTTGAAATAAACACTAACCCACACAACCAAGCACTCCAGCCTAGCTGGTTGCGAGGTTACCGTGCCTAGTGGGAGGTCTCGAGTTCGAATCCCGCTAGGCACACAAGGGTTTGAAACTCAATTGAGTGAGTTTCAGCCCTAATTACTCCAGGCTCCCCTCAGCCCCCCTCCCCTAGACCCCCCTGGAGTAAAAAAAAAACAAACTAATCCACACATATAGTGTTAATAACTGTATATATCAAAGTCAAACGACTCTAATTTTATTTTAGATATTTAGCATTGGTGATAAAAAACACCATTAGATGTATAGTTTATACTAAACACACATATAGTGATTAGTTGATGCACACACATACTAAATAGTTTATTTTTTTTTATGTATAAACGAATATATATATATATATATATAGGGAGTGGTTCCAATGAGAACACTCCTTATTGTGAGAAATGAGAACAAATCCGAACCATACATCTTAGTAAATCAATGGTCATAAGAGGATGAGGTGCACAAATATATGGTGGAAGTACAAACATTTTAAAAATGCTCTTGCTCTCTCTAATCCACACGTAATTTAATAAAGGGCAACAAAGTAATTTTTAAAAATCCTTTAATGTGTATCCGTTTAGTTTGAGGCTATCACTTACCAAAAAAATAGGAAGAGATAAAAGATCAAATCACATAAAATATTTTTAGTTTAAAAATTGATTTAACTTTTTAAATACTAATATGATTTTAACAAAAATTATATCAAATAAAATAATTTTTTATTATCTTTCATATGACACCAATATGTCATATATAATTTTCTTTTTAAAAAATAAGTATAATATGTATACAATAAATCACAACAAACATCTTCATGTACAACATGCACAAGAATATGTATCTGACACACAATCACTAATATCAAATGCACAAAAGCCCGTATTTAACACACAATACATATAAGAAAAACTAAAACAAGTATGTTTAGCACAGAATCCAACATATAATGCACAAAGAACAATATCTGACATACAACAATTAAAAACTAATTAATATCTTACGCATAAGGATTTCACGCAACTTAAACTAATATATAACACACAAGAAATATTATGCACATGAAATATTAGTGGTTAGGTACGTATCTACTAACGCACAATAATTTAATGCACTAAAAATCCAGTTTTGTGAAATACACAATATTTGATATCTATTGCACAAAAAATGATTGATGTTAAAAAATATAAAAGTACTCCGTATATGCTAAATAATATGAATAATAATATCTAGGCCACAAAAATAAAAAGATGTTGGAGAATATAAAATAATATGGTGAATAGTGATACTAATAAGAAACGTGGAAGTGAGTTACCATATATATGATAATGGTTGTTGACCAAGTTAATTAAACCAATCATGGCAAGCCGTTAGAAAAATTAAAGCGAACCCATGTGATTACTAAAATGCCCACTATCAAAACTCGGATGTAAAGAAGTGGAGGTTTAATATCAACGGGTAGGATTCGTTCTCACGTTCTCACGTTAAGCCTTGTTCTCACACACACACACACACACACACACACACACACACACACACACACATATATATATATATATATGATTATTCTTCGAATCAAATACATAATCATTTCTATTCGTGTTTGAAAGATGTTTGAATAAAAAATCCGATTTGTATTCGTATTTATATTCTACATTTTCAAATTTAAATCAAAATTTGTGAATCCAAATCACGAAGTGAATTAAAATTATTTGTTTCCTTATGATACTTCTGATTTATTACAAATTGATTTGGAATGTGCATACGTAAATGTACATATGAGCTACACTTTGAAGCTACAACTAACTTTTAAATGTTATTATAGTATTATTACTACTATTATTACTATTATTTTAATATTGTCACTGTTATTAATCGAATATATTCGATTAACATTCGAATCGAATAGACTGATATTCGTGTTTGTATTTGATAACAATTCGAACCAAATTTAGTATTCTTATTTGTATTTGCATCTGAATTTTTCAAATTTGAATCGTCTTATACAAATTCGAATCCCGAATTGAGCATAAATTATTTGATTCGTATACAACGCTAGAGGTAAGTAGGATCAAAATCATTGAAAGATTTAACATGTATTATCCCATAAAAATGAATAATTCAATCTAACAAGCTTGTTAGGATGTTTTTACTTGGACTGTAATTTGCTGGTCTGGTATGGTAATGTCTGGTCTCTTTGTATTTTTATAACTATCCAAGTCTGATCTGGTCTGGTCTGGTCTAGTCTTGTTTGGGACGGATTATAGTCCAAGTAAGAGCATCCTTAATCGCATAGACATAAAGCGGAAAAGAATGTCAATTAGTTATTATAAAAAATAAATAAATTTATAAACCACTATGTTAAAACAATTACTACCTCCGTCCCTAATAAAACTTCCATATGGGTTGGGCACACAGTTTAAGATAGTGAGTATTGTGTGGTGGAGAGTTGTGAAGAGGAGAGAGAAATGTGTGAGAAATGTTGTGAAACACAAATTCTTTACCAAAAAGGGAAAGTGGAAGTTTTAATTGGAACGGACGAAAAAGGAAAGTTGGAAGTTTATTTAGGGACGGAGGGAGTAGTATAGTGCGGCCGGCCGCTACTAGAGCTTCTAGGGTTGCGTGCGTGAGGATTAGGCATTTCTTGCATGAGGACTTCAGCGGCTTCTTTGCGAGAGGATTTCAACGGGTTTTTGGATGCTAAGGATATGCAGCCCAATTGCGACATCGACGAGTATAGAGAAAAAAATTCCAGCATCGGCTACAGTGGAGGGTGGAGACGGAACAAGCAGGCAGCATGAGCAAGACAATTGGCGGCAACAGCAGTACAAGCACAATACCCTTAGGGAAAGGACTGATGGCGGATATCAATGAACAATGAGAGATCGAGAGGTTGACTAGTGTGTATGGAAACATGGAGATGGAAGATGGGGATGAATTCTTACGAGTACAGGCTACGGCACCTGACAGTGACGAAGTTAGCTTGTCGTTGGTAGGGACAATCACTTCTGAAAAATCCATACACTTCTCCTTTATTCGTGATATAATGACAAATATATGGAAATCAGTCAGGGGTGTCACTATTACTGAGTTAGAAAACAGAAGGTACATGCTTCAGTTTTATAACGAAAATGATATGTTAAGGGTCCTAG